ACTGTTTAAATTGTAAAAATTCATAGTTGTATTTGGTATACACAAAGCAAAGAGGAAGAATGTATTTTCTTCAGTTACGTTTAAGCTGTACTAGATTCTTTCTAAGTGTATCTGAATCCCTTACAGTGACAAATATTTATCATTTTTTTTAAAAAAATAGTCTGGAAAGGCCCTAATACTTGATTATAAGCATGTAGATACGTTACATGAGAGAAAAACACATTATATGGAATAGATCCAGGTCTTGATCCTGCCCATGATAACATCTCCTGAGTGGAGCTCTATTCCAGGGACGATCCCGCTGACGGAAGAATAGGAGGCAGCATCTACTAGTTCTGCTTGTGCCTCTTTGTCATCACCTGAAGGACTGAGGGACCTTCAACTGCATGGCAGCTTGTAAAGGTAGGAGGAAACTGAGAAAAATTACCCTTCTCTTCTGCCAGCAGGATCTTGTACTAGATAGGAAGCCTTCAGTACATGGAAGGAACCCTCCTGGTAATGGCAAGCAAAGTTCAGACCCAAACCTATACGTTTAACAGAATATGTGCAAATATTATTTCTTTCTAAACAAAAATTTTTTTTGCTGAACTTTGCTAGAAGATAATATAATCTGATACATATACCTAGACATTAAAAAGTTTAGTATATTAATAAGCAAAGAATCACTTTCTTCTTTGTACCCTAGAACACTATCATATTTCAGACCTTATTTTACTGAGATAGTGTCTTACATATTATTCCCACCTTCTGCATTTGACACTTGAAATGCAGAAAGTTTACTATAATTTAAATGCTTGGAAAGGGGGAATCATTTGTTTCATATCACATGTGCCAGTGATGATACAGTTATGATATGTGTAACCTAATCTTATACAAATTTGGGGTGGTTTAGTCCACTGAAATAATATCTGAGAAGCAGCTAACTGCATAGGATGGGCAGTAAATCTGCAACCCTAAGCATACTTATGAGGACGTAAGTCCAATTAAAGTTCTTCAGAGGAATTTACCTCAAAGTAAACATGCACCAGTTTGAGGTGCAACAGTGTTGAAGTCATAACACTTGAAGAACCATTTCCATACTGGGAATTGTATATTCCGGCCTCACAAACTGTTCAGAAGTAGAGTTGTCTGTATTTATACTGTCACCTGTATCTGTGTCCTTAAGAGCAGTCTGCTGTAACAATTTGCAGTTAAGGTTTATTCTTAGTTATTGGAATCCACTTGTTGAGGTCAGCAGACTGAATTGCTAATAAAGGCTTAAAAGTGTACAACTATGTCATTTAACTGGGCAGTTGGCAACCAAAGTTGAACCTTCAAAGCTACAGAACTAGACACAAAAAAACATAATCACTATCAGTGGAACAGAACTTTTGGTTGGGTTGTGGCCAGAATGCTCACAAAGCACCAGAGCGCTGAAGAGTAATTTTGGTTTTTTTTAAACTCCTCTCACACATAGACCAATGAATCCAGAAAGTTTCCAAGCTCTGAACAGTACATTTTCATATTTAAATATGATTTAAATGTTCACACAAAATTACCCAAAAAACACAAAACTTAACATTTTTAGATGGTAAGATTTCAGTACAGCTTAGCAATGCTGTCAGATTCATTAGCTCAACAATATAGACAATATTGTCAACTGATGGTACAGTGTAGTTAGCATTAAGCCCCAAAGTGCAATTTCAGTACACACAACAAGCACTATGTACTTATCACCCTCCGTCCAGGATTTCATGTATGCTCCAATGCACATATCAAGTTCTTATGACCAGTAATTTCAAGATATTGTTTAGAGTGAAACAAAACTGTATGTGTACTGCCACCACCTTCACTGAATGGAAGGAAGGATGGTTTTGCAGCCAGAGCTTTGCCATGAGCTGATTAGTGACTGCTGGAGGCAAATGAGCAAGACATTGTAGGTACCGTATCGTCTTGATAGGGGGAATCCTGTACTATTCTCTCACAATTCTGTAAAAATAATAAATCCTCCTGAGTATTTCAAAACAGAACCTGTTTTGAAAGCAAACTGTGTTCAAGGAGCACTCTGCTCTAATTACTGATTGGGCTAAATCACATTATAATATTGGAGGTAGAAGAACAAGGTTCTTTTTCCTGTTTGTGGCCAGAATCCTATTAGTTTTCATGTAAGGTTTGCTTAACTTGCAGCAAATTGATGAGATGCAGCTGTGCATCTCAGTTGTGCAATCTGGCGCATGACCAGGTATGCAACCAGTGGGATTCTGGCCAATAACTTTGTGATACAAAAATATTGTGACAGGATAACCACTGGTTAATATTATAGATAATTAAAGTGTCTGTTTCCTTATCAAAATGTTTCAAAGATACTTATGCATGACTAACTGTATATGGGACAAGAGCAAAAGATGTATATCAAGGTTTCCCTCTTGTTTGTGGCAAATCAGCCTGATCTGCCACAAACAGGAATGGCATATTGAGAAATTCAAAAATCTTGAAAAAGTACTTTGAAGGTGATCTTCCCTGCAAGATTTTTGTTTGTTTGCTTACTGTTTTAATAGCATTAAATGGAAAGCTTCCAATCTGTGACGTTCTTGCCACTAAAATATTCCCCTGGTACAAAGTAAAACAACGGTAAAATATTTATAGGAGGCAGTTATTAAAAATATAGACAGCCATGTTTTTTGTTTCTTTCATTCTTTGGTACTAATTTAGGCCATGTATCATCTGGACATTGGGAAAAATACCAGTATAATCAGTGCACAAATGTATACCTATCAGGGAAAATAGCTCTCTCTGAATGAAGCCAGTCTTGTGCAAAGTAACTCAAATACTGTTAATGTCTGATTACTACACAACAGCATCTGAAGCAGATATATTCCAATTCTCAAATATCTTAAAGACTATGTGAAATTTCAAATATTAGTATAGTGTTCACCCATAAATAGGAATTAGTGCTCAGTAACTCACAGGACTGGCATTTTATGGACATGCATTATTCACAGAATTTCTTGCTTAGATTATCAAAAACTGACACAAAACAAAGAGAAAATATGTGGTGGTACATCTTTAACTTTTAGCATTTCCCTTAAACTTTAAGGACATCTTTGGAAAACATTTGCTCTGATAATAAATAGATCAGCAAATTAGATGACAACCGAAAAGTGTCAATATTTTAGCATTTTTTCCACTGGAGAAAAGCAAAAGCAAACAAATAGTTTCAAAAACTGGATTTTGTTCTCTAGAATTTATAAAACATGGTTTCAATTCCTAATTTTTCTGCCAAGATTAAGGCTCTGATATGTGGGCTGGATAGCTCAGTGGTTTCAGATACTGAGCTGCTGAGCCAGAGGCTGGAAATTCAACTCCCCACTATGCCTCCAAGGAGAAAACCCAGCCTATGTAGCTTTGGGTAAGCCGCACAGGGAATGGTAAACCACTTCTGAGTATTCTCTACCTGGAAAACCCTGAAAAGGGTCACCATAAATTAGAATTAGCATGACAGCACACTATTATTATTATCATACCAACAGATAACGTGGATGGTGAACCTTCTGGAAAAGGTCAACTAGTATGTTTCAGCTACATGCTGCCATCGAGAGATGGGGGGCTCACCCCTTTAGGAGGGGTGCTCCTTATTTCTGGTTACAACCTGCCTGTGCTGTCATCACTTTAGGATTAATCTGAGGAAGGCTGTTTCCAGTCTACAGCCCAAAACAGCCATGAAATTCACTGGTTGATCAACCCTTCCAATCATATCAAGGTGCCACTCTCCGCAGATTATAATAGCCAATCGCCTGCACCCTCCCCTGCCATGTTTACATAAAAAGGCATTTTTAATTTGGTAAATTCATTGCTTCTCAAAAAATAGAGGCTTCTTTCTCCCCCAAACGCCCTTCTCATACATATACATACATACATACGCACTGACTTTAATATCTCACTTTGAAAGGTCAAGTGAGAAATTATTTATCAAGGACTACAACACATATAAGGTGACTCCCACCCCACCTCTGAAAACAAGAGGGTCACAAACCTCAGATTGGAAAACACTGGTCTAGATTGTCATGCTGTGTTCTAATGTTTTTAAAAGCCAATCTTCCCACTTGAAATATGGGATGGGGCAAGACAAATGAGCAAATACGCATTCCATTTGCTGATTTTTCTGTCTGTCAAATGCATTAATGTAGGGGAAGTTGGGCTAGAACTACAAAAGGGATTAAAAGAAGCAGAAACCTTGACTTCAGGGTGTGGCTGCATGGCATATACTACTTAACATAAGGAAAAGCAAAAGGTAATTCACCAGAAGTAGACAGGAACTAGACTATAGTGTTCAAGGTTTGCTTTAAGGCATAAATAGGCAACTCACAGACATCCAAGGGCCACATATGCCCAATCCGTTACCTTGGAGGGCCACACTTGCTCCCAGAGCCCACAGCCCTCCTCAAGCACTTTTCTTCTTATTAATTTTTTTTCAATTGAAAACATCCCCTTATGCCTTGCAGTGACCAATTTTTAAATTTCTACAACCCTAGAAATAATAAGGGGACTTATAGAACTTTTCTTTTTAAAATAGTATTTTGGTGGGTGCCCAAGAGTGCTGATGGAGCATAGTTGTGGCTGTTGGGGGCACAAGTGGCCTACGGTTTGTCTTCCCCTGTGTTAAGATCTGCCTAAGAGCAGTTACCATAGTTATGCAGCAAAAAGGGGGGCAAGAACCCCAACATTCCAACAATCCACAAAATGCCATTCAATCTTCTATTAAAAATTCAACCTATCTTATCTGTTGGTTTAGAACCAGTCTTCTTTCTCTGTCAGGAATTTTATACACTGGGGAAAATTCATTCAGAACAATAGAAACTTTTATTCAAACCATATCACATATAGGAAAACTTTAGTTTTCCAATTGTGTTGGGGTACAACGTCCATAATCCATTATAAAGAGCCATGCTGACCAGGGAGCTAAAGGCCAGGACATTTGGTGGCCCAAATGTTCCCCATCACTGATTCTCTCTCTTTCTCTCTCTCTCTCTCAATCACACACATACACACACAGAGAAGCAAATGCCACATATACTCCTTCAATCACATACTTCAATATCACATCTAGAAGAAGAAACCTTGGCAATGATCTGGGTTTAAAATGTTGCAGTTATGTAGTGTAGATGTGGCAATAGTTAGGCCTTAGTGGCTTCCGCTGAGTTTTTTGAAAAAAAGTGAATAATTCTGTAGTCCAGGATGTAATTACAGATAAGTGTGTGGGGTGGAGTGTGTTTGTAAATCTTTTTACTTTTACCCACTTAAAAATGGCTGCCACAGAAGAAAAATGATGTTTAACTTGGAATAATGTCTTCTCATGCCCAACAGTGGTGGTTTAGACATTAGACTGCCAAGGATATCAATCCACTTAAATGCTGACTGGACACTCTCTCTATAAAACAAATTATTCATAAAAATAAAACAATTATTCATTGTGAATATGAATGGTCTGAATTGAGAAAATGACAACTGCAGAACTCTACACTACATTCCTCACTATCACAATGGGTTAGTCATAATGGCATCAAATATCACTGATTTATACTTTAATCTACTTGAAATTATATTTCCGTGGGATGGCAATAATTTGTGACTTAACTAAGTTTAATACAGAGTATTGTATAATTGTATAGGTCAGAGATCATCCTTAATAAAGAGGTGTATAGTGCTGATGTTTTGGTGGTGGTGCCTCTTAGCACAGATATAAAAACACCAAAACCATTATTTTCCCTTATGCTGTTTTTCAGAACACCACCTGGTCATTTTATTATGTGCTTTTATCTATTTAGAGTCTATTCTCATTGCTCTCTGATCACTTGTAAGCATTAGTTTATAGGGGAACTTCCTGACTGCATTCTTAGTGATAAATGCTTCCAGAAAACCAAGGGGAAAATATCATTCCCATTCATAGCACAATAAGCAAAAGTGGCTCTGCATAGCATCTGTAAATAAGACATTGCCAATGGACCACTGGAAGGAATTTTTGGTAACAAAAGACTGGAATTATTGCTAATGCTGTCAAACCAGTATCTGTGAATACTAAAGCACATATAAGGCCCCGGGGAGAGTTGGCTCAATTTCTCTTGAAGAAATATTCAGCATTTATACATTCGCAGAGAAAAGAAAGCAGGGATCTGAGTCCTTCCTTGTGTCACATTAGAACCCTTTGATTCTGCACTAGAGCCACTGGACTGAGGTGTGTGAGAAGAATTTTAACACTGATGTACAGAAGTCGACTTCACTGGTTTAGCTAGGCACAATTATGATAATACATAGAAGACAAAAATGGAACAACAAATCAAACTGGGGGGGGAAATCATGAGCGAGGCACATGGATGGCAAAATAATCTGGAATGGAAAACTGCATCATGAAATATATTTCCTTATTGCAGATAATAGTCCTGAAGCTAAGAATATACAAAGAAAGATCTCCCATGTTGTAGTTTATATGGCCACTGTGGGTGCCACTCCCTTTTCACTTCAGAAAGCTCTGAATTGTACTGAGTGATCAGAGGACGAAGATCGCAATGTAACAGGAATATTTCTTGGACAAACAGTCCTTGTGGAAATGAATGAGAGCTGTGCACAAGAAGATCCTGTGGGAGTGTCCAGCCGGGAATCCAAAATTGTCTCCATCCTCAAGGCCCAGGCACATCAGACAGACAAAACTTCTCTCCTTCAGTTTGCCAAGAGAATTAGGAATCTCCTTTCAGCTTCATGTCAATGCTTAAAGGGGAAAAAAAGAAAAGAAACACATTTAGTAGAATGGATATTTACTATTAACATGTATTCAGAATTTTCTCTAAAGAATACAGTTCACCATGCATAGACAGAGGTCCCAAGCAGTATTCCATCCAGCTGCTATCCAGGCCCAGACATTCTTAGCTTTAAAAGCAGAACTGCTTCAGACAGCTTATGACAATTTTTTGTAATCATTAGCATGTGTCCTTTCCCTTTCCCCTTTTCTTAAGGTATCACTCTACCATGCCAGCAGATGAGGATACTGCTGTGTTTGGAGCCAAATATCAGTATTCCAACTAAAACAAAGTACACATGATCATACAGCAATGACACATGCAAACAGAGGTCTACAACATTAGGGCTCTGATGGTATTTGTAGTAGCAACACAAATGTAAATGTATTTGGTCACATCATAGATACACAACACCTAGCATATCATAGCAAGTTTGTTGCAACTGAAGATATATGGCTATAGAAAAAGACTATATAATCACGATAATTGTTTTAGAGTTTATAGCCACAAAAGTGTTTACCAAAGGTAGAAATTTTGGCCCTCCAGGTATCAGATTACAACTCTGCCTGACATCAGAGATGATGGAAGTTGCAGTCCAAATATCATGAGGAGCAGAGAAAGTCCCCACTGCTGGTATAACACTGAATTCTTACATTTGCTCTAAAATAATACTGTAGAACATCTGAATCTTAGTGCTGAAGCCAGCCTCAAGATTAGTATAGATTTCTCTTATATTTGTTTTCTAAATTACAGCATAAAACGCAGAACATGCAAAATACTTCTGCTTATTGATAAAAAACATTTTCTATTTACTATTCATGCCACAAAACAGAGACAAATAAAAGTACAGCTGGATGAAAGGCAAAGATATAAAATAGTGAAAGGCCAAACAGAAAGAGGGCTGGGTAAACTCCAGAAGTTTATAACAACAACATCCATCAGTGCAAAACTATAGCTGTTCTATCCTGTTGCTATGTGTAGTAACTCACAACTAGAGTGAGCTCACTGAATCAGTGGGGATTTGTCACCATTGATTCAATGGGCCTATTTTAGTTGCAACTTACTATGCCATGCAACAGGATTTCTGGTTATAAATCTCATGTCCCTTATAGTTAACTATTACAGAGCAAAACATTTATTTCAGTAGCCTCATGTTAGGGAATCTTCCTTATATTCAGGCAGCATGTACTACTAACATGTGCACAGCAACATTTTTATAGCACTTTAGACAACTGCATTGAAAAAGCTAGCTTTTCTTGAAAAAGACCAGCAGCCTAAAATGAGTCATATAAGAATTTGGATCTGAAAGAGACTATCTGGAGTGTACCCAACTCATCAATGTCTCTTGCACTACATGATCATGAATTAATAATGCTCCTATATAATGGCATCATTAATAGTAATTTCTTACTCCTGCTGGACTGAAGTTGTTTCTGGCTCATTTGAAAGACAGCTCGCTCTGAAGGCAAAGGAAAATGAAATGCAGTAAATATTTTTCCCTTCTCTCCTGTTTTGGGGGGTGGGGGAAGAGCTTTGGGAAACAATAGCAACTGTATAGTGGGAAAAGCTTTATAGAGTCAAATTTAATACATCAGATACAGGAATTCATGATGATGATGATGATGATGATGATGATGATGATGCACATCTCTTCCTCCCAGGCTTGCACAGGATGTGCCACAATCAACTTGTTACTTGTTAAAGATACTACAAGAAACTTTACTATTTGCAGCAACAGACTGTTTCTCTGGAATCACTAATCTATCTATATCACTCAGAAAGAATTCAGGTTGGCTCCATTTCTGGTGAGCTTCCAGCAGGCAGCTAATGTTGCATTGTTCTGAAGAC